AAAAAAAAAAAAAAAAAAAAAAGCTGCCGAGAGAAGACGGGAGGGAGACGGGAGAGAAGAGGGAGTTGGCTTGTTGGGGGGAAGAAGAAGATGCAATAAAATAATATTATGCATTTGGTAGGTAGGAGACAAAAGTAATAATAAAATAAGATGTAAGGCTTATTTAGTGGGGTGATGTAATAAGTGGTTTAATTTTTGACTTATTTTTTTAGTGGGGAGTTAAAAGGAAGTTTGTTTAAGGGGGTAGGGAGTTAGGTGGAAAAATATTTATGTAGGAACTGAGCAAGAATTCAATTATAGGTTTGGGGATTTATTAGGAACTTTCCCTTGTTTTAAATGCTAAAATTAAATAAACTACCTTCAATAATTGATTTGATTGAGTTCTTTTCTATACTTTGAATATGGATTTATGCAGTAAATGTCATTTTATTTCAAAAGTATCAGTAATTCTATGGAGCAATCGGATGGCTTTGTTATGGAGTCATCCATAATTTTATATACTGACACATGTCTAATGTGCATTTATTGCAGGACACGTGTCAATACATCATTTGTGAACAACAATGGATGGCTCCATAAGCCGAGCCATCCGATGGCTCCATAGCAAAACCGTCAAACAGTAATTCTATGGAGCAATCGGATGGCTTTGTCAAACAGTAATTCTATTGGATGGCTCCATAAGCCGAGCCATCCAATACATCATTTTGTCAATTTTTTTTTTTTTTCGACTGAGATTACGGGATGTGTTTATTTGAGATTTTAAAATTTATTAAATATTTATACGGTATTTCATTTATTATTGATTTTTTTAAAATAAAATACATATATAAAATCCATAGATTCAGTATTATAAAATATTACATTAAGGTTTGTAACAATTCAATTTTTTTTTTTTTTTTGGTACAGGGACCTTCCGGTTTCTGGATCCACAGGGGATCCGACTAATCTGGAATCGAGCCGGGTAGGACCACAAGGGCGGCAAAGCTCTCCCTCAAGAGTTTTAACACTGCTGCATTCGCAGGGCTCAAACTTGAGACCACTGGTTAAGCTGGAAGAGACTCAAGCCATCTCATTCAATCGCTCTTGGGTTTTGTAACAATTTTAATTAAATTAAAAAGTTTTAAAAAAAAATCCCGGCTATACTAAATTCTCACATCAGCTCTCAATTAAATTTAATATTTATATAAATTCGTCCTATGTATAATTTTTAAATGTGCTAAGTTAAAATAGTAGGTTCACATGTTTCGAGATTTTATATGACAAATTTTCATGTTTTATCATTTGTGTTGGATGCATTTTAATTTATTTTAGATCAAAAAATTACTAGGTCTCGAATATTCATAAATATAAATATACTGAATACTTATTATCATTTTAAAAGCACTAATTATGTTACATTTTATATCTTTTAAAATTATAACATAACTACTAACTAAACTTACAGACAAATTTAAAAAGTTAATATTTTGTTTATTTATTATCAATTTTTATATAAAATACATCGAATTAATCATGTCTTGATGAACGTCAATTTTCCAACTATATTGGACATACAAAATAAATAAATAATTGTATTTATCTTTATAATAAAAATTAAAATACCTATTAAAATTAATTAAAAATATATTTTATTTAATTACAAAGATAAGTTAAGAAAAATATTATAATATAAGATGATAAGTCATAGAATGATGAGTGTCATTTTAAATACACATAGTGATACAATTTTAAAAATTATTGAAAATTAAAATAATTGTTTGTTATTATTATTTTTAACTTTACACATATTATAATAAACACTCGTATAATACACAAGTATTGTATCAGATATGATTAAATCACCAAAAAAAATTAAAAAAATAAAATCACTCAAATCTACACTTTTCATAAATAGAAATAAATAAATAAACTTATATAATCCTCCCTATATATAATTCCCGAATGCGCTAAGCCTACGTGGATGTTTCTGGTGCTTCAGAATCCTATTTGGCGAAAAATCATGTTTCGTAATTAGGTTTAGACAAATAATATTAATATATTAATAATTAATAATCTAGGTTCGGGTATTCCATAAATATTATTTAGCTAACTTAGGTATTTTGATATCACTTTTACTAATATAACCCTTTAATTATTTGTAATTTTACATAGTGAGACACTAAGTGACTAATATATCCCTAAATTTTGATTTGCTTCCTTCAATAAACTATTGAATTATAAATGTATTTTAAAAGTACATAACTTTTGTATTTCTTATCGGTTTTATATATATAATATATCAAATTAATCATCTTTTGATGATCTTCGATTTGACATCCATATTGTATATATAAAATAAATAAATTATATTTATCTTTATAATAATAAAAAATAATAATATTTATTAAAATTCATTAGAAAAATAAAATTATTTCTCAATTGATATATTTATATTTAATGTAGTTATATATTGTAAGTTAAAAAATTAGTATAATATAACACAAATAAGTCGCACAAATAAAAAGTATCATAATAAATATATAATATATATATATATATATATTCTTATAAAAGGTATTTAAATTTTCAAACTACTTTTTCTCATTAATTTTAAAATTTAAGATAAAAATTTAATATTTAAGATAAAAATTAGCAAGTACCCGTGTAATACACGGGTGTTGTACTAGTAATAATACTACTACCTATTAATTGCCAAATGCCATTATTTGCCCGAAATATCACGTTTTAGTTTCCCTTTACTAAATAGGAAAAAATAAATTGGACGCATCTAAAATAAAGAAAATCCGGCAGAAAGCAAATCCAATTTACATCAGCAGTAACAGATTAAAACCCTCTCTCTGTGCAAACCCAGAAAATAAAATTATGAGAAGGAAACTTCTATGGCGACACAACTGAGGAATTGCCAGATTAGGGTTTTATACTCTGTGATTTTTTGTGTACATTAACAAATAAAAAAAATTTCATATCGGATACTCTGTCAGGACATCAGCAGGTGAATCAATTCTTCCGAACAAGATTGATTTATTGTTTTTATTGCTGCCTTTTTTTTTTCTTTTTTTTTTTCTTCTTCATTTTCTTTCGAAATCTTGGATCTTGAGCTTGATGGGTTTTTCTTGACTGTTCGTGCAGTTTTACCGGTGAGGATTTGAAGGCGTATAGTTATTTGGGAACTCTGACGATTTACGAAAGATCATCCTTTTATTATTTTTTCCCCCTTTTATAGCGATTGTTTATATTTCCCTTCCTAAAAATTGTTGGGTTGAAGGAAATAGCTCTTTAACAATGGTGGAAGAACGAGTTCTTGATGACAGTAGTTGCATAGCCGAACCTTTTGAAGTTAAGCTTGAAGAAGATGAAGAAGACTTCAGGAGCTGTTGCGAGGACGATGATGAGTTGAAGGAGGAAGAAGAAGAAGAAGAACTTGTTGAAGTTGGTTCAGATGATAGTCTTGATGAACATTCGGTGAAATTATATTTCAAAGGAGTTTCCGCTGATGGGCCCGGTGATTCTTCTGGTTCGAAACTTTCTGGAATTGGGGTGTTCATGGAGAAATCGGGTAATGATTCCCCGATTCGGGTGCAGAAAAAGCTCGATTTCTATGTGGAGGCATTGATTGCAGATTACTTGGCTTTGCTCGATGGTTTATCTGTCGCTATTCAGAATAATATCAGGCGTGTGGTGGCCTTTACTGATTCTCAAATCTTGTATGATCAGGTGAGGAACTCAGTATTATTGCTAATTTCTTTTCCTTTCCATTCAGGTGTTGCAGATCTAGCTGTAATCTGGATTCGGTAGGTTATAAAATGAGAGAATCGGCAGCTAAAAGTAGATAATCATTATTTGCAATCAGTTGCCGAATGCAGAATATCTCTAAAGTGCTTGTTCTAAGTTGTTCGATTGATAAGTATATGAAAAATCAAATCAGATTTAACAATATATGTAGACTTAAAAAAGCATAAGTTATGCATTTAAGATTATCTAAAAAATCCGTTCTTTGTTCTTCTCACCATTAATCCACGATGCTTGAAATCAGCCTTTTGTATTATGAAATGCGAAGTTTAATCTATTGTGTGTAATGTGTATGCTTGCAGATAACCCTACACAATGCTGTAGATAGCCCTCTTCTCATAGCCCTTAGAGAAAGGATCACCGAACAAACCAGCCATTTCGAAAAATTCATCCTAAAACTTATCCCAAAACCCGAACTGCAAAAAGCATCCCAACTAGCCCGAATTGCCATTGGAATAGTCTCCTCACCTCCCGAGGAAGGTGGGCCCACCACAACAGAGACTTGCTCCATTTGCTGCGAGGAAAAGCTCCAGCCCATGATGCTTTCAATTAAATGCTCCCACAGGTTTTGTTCACACTGCATGAAAACTCACGTCGAGAAAAAATTAAAGTTTGCCCAAATCCCCATCCGATGCCCTCACCTAAACTGCAAGTACCGAGTCTCGATGAACGAGTGCTCGTCTTTTCTGCCCGTGGTGACTTTCAAGTCTTTGGAGAAGGCACTCGAGGAGGCGAACATTTTGGGCTTGGATAAAATCTATTGCCCATATACGAGCTGTTCGGGTTTGATTGATACAAACGGCTCGGAGAATGGCTGCTCGGAGTGCAATGTATGTGGGGGGCTTGTGTGTATCGTTTGTGGGGTCCGCTGGCACTCCTCAATGACGTGCGAGGAGTACCAAAGTTTGTCGGAAGAGGAGAGAGAAGATTTCCTGGAGGATTTGACCTTGCGAAGGCTTGCAACGGATAAGAGGTGGCGGCAGTGCCAGCAGTGCCAGAGGTTGATCAAGCTTACTCACAGTTGCTACCAAATGACTTGCTGGTATATTTTTCTTTTTTTTCTTTTTTTTTTTTGGTCGGGAAAAAAAAATATTGTTTTATTACTATTTTGTTTATTGTAGGTTAATTCAAAATAATAGTGCTTATTGATTAATTGATGTAGAAAAGCAAAAAATCAGAAACTTTGCATAGCATTGAGGTAAATTAAGGCTATGTTTGGTAGATCTGGTTATAAACTTATAAGTGAATTTTGAGCGTATAGCTGATAGCTTATGACTGAATAACTAGCTTATATGATAGAAGTGTTTGATAAAATTAGCTGAAAATAAAAATTTCAAACGGGCTTATTTGAAAAACTACTAAAAAGAAGCTTACGAATAAGTTGAGCTTTTTTTTTTTAAAAAAAAAAACTCGTTCTACCAAACCAAGCTCATTTGAATACATGAAGCTTCTTGGATTGTTTGTTATTTTGACATTGTGTCGAGAAAAAAAAACTTCGAAATCTTGCTCATCTTTACATTTCACCATGCTTTTTTTTTTTT